TTTCAGAAAGGAAGGGAAAGGGGTAGAGAGATAGAAACATCAACAATGAGAGAGAATCATTGATCGGCTGCATGCCCCACACTGGAGATCGAGCCTGCAACCCAGGCATATGCCCTGACTGGGAATTGAACCTTGACTTCCTGGTGTATAGGTTGACACTCAACCACTGAGCCACGCCAGCCGGGCTAAAATCTACCCTGCTGATTTTTTTTTCAGTTGTTGAGCCAACAACTTCCTTTTATTAAGGCAATTGAGTTGGATTTCCTACTGCTTGTAACCAAAATCATCCTAACAAAGAAATCTATGAAATCTCAAGACATTTGGAGAAAGAGGTGAGATTAATTAATGAATAGATATTTGGGAAGCCTACAGACACCTTAAACTAATGTAGGCTCCCCACCAAAGCCTACCTCTTTTCCTATGTTCCCTCATCTTAAGAAATAGCTGCATCATTCACCTAGTTGTCCACGGTAGAAATAAACATGGAAGTCGTGCTAGACTATTTTCTCTCTCACCTGCAATTAAATCAGTTGTCATGATTTCTCCCTTCTAGATCTTTATTATCTCTGTAATCTGCCCTCTTTACAAAATATTTTATTGATTTCAGAGAGGAAGGGAGAGGGAAAGAGAGAAACATCAATGATGAGAGATAATCATTGATCGGCTGCCTTCTGCGCGCTCCTCACTGGGGATCGAACCCACAACCCAGGCATGTGCCTTTGACTGGAATTAAACCATGATACCCTGGTTCATAGGTGGATGCTCAATCATTGTGCCACGCTGGCCAGGACAATCTGCCCTCTTTAACCCATTGTCACTGCCCTAGTCCAGTGTTTCTGTGCCTCAGAAACTATTTCCCAGTGTTTGTGTGTCCCAGTATCTGTAGTTTTAAGTGTTGGCTACAAGTGCCTGTGTTTTTCACTGTTTGTGCTTTTCAGTCTGTACTAGTATGTCCCAATTTCTGAGGACTCGAGTGTTTGTGTGTTCCATTATCTGTGTACAACATTTGTATGTGTCAATATCTATGTGTCTCAATGTCTGCATGTCCAAGTGGTTGTTTGTATCAGTGTCTGTGCACCCTGTTTTCCTCTGCCTGGGTGTTTCAGTGACTGGGTCTCCCAGTGTCTGTACCTCCAAGTGCCTATGTGTCTCAGGGCTTTCTCCCAATGTCTATACACCCAAGTGTCTGTGTATCTCAATGCTTATGTATCCAAGTGTATTTGAACCTCACTGTAAGTCCCAATTTCTGTGTCTACCTCAACTGTGCACCAGTATCTATGTGTTGAAAAGACTGTGAGTCACAGTGTCTGTATATTTCCCAGTATCTATAATGTAGATCAGTGGCCGCCAACCGGTGGTCCATGGACCACTGGTGGTCCGTGAGGTCCGAAAGGTTGGTGACCGCTGTTGTAGATCATAGCCTCTCTGTACTTTGATGCCTGGGTGTCCTATTATCTGCGTTCCTCAGTTTCTATATGTTTTAGCATTTGTGTACCCCTGTAGCCATTTGCATGTTGCATGTGTCTCTTAGTTTCAGTGTTTCCATGTACCTCAGTATCTGTAGCCCAGTGTCTGTGTGCCTCAGTGTCTGTATCTATTGTTCGTTTCCCAGTGTCAGCATATTACTGTATGTTTCTAAGCTTCGTTTTTGTGTGCTTTAGCCTCTCTACCCCAGTTTCCTGTGTCCCAGTGGTGTGTATCCCAGTGTGTGTGTGTGTGTGTCTGTTCTAGGTTCTATGTGTCCTTCTGCCTGTGTATCCCAGTGTCTGTGTGTACCTGTGTAGCAATATATGGTCCCATTGTCTCTGTCCACCAGCATCCCTGTATGTTCTGATATCTGGTCTAGTGTCCATGTGTGTTAAATGTTGGTATGTGTCAGTGTCTCTGTGGATGTTAGTGTCTGCCTGTTTCCGAATGGCTGTGTGTATCTTAATATCTGCACCAGCAAGTTTTTGGTTGTGTTCCAATGTCTGCATATTTCAGTCTCCCAAGGTTTTTGTGTCCCAATGTCTGTGTTCTGGTGTCTGTGGTTTCCATTGTTTATTGTGGTCCAGTATCTGCATGTTCTTGGCCCCCATAAGTCTGTGAGTTTGTGTCCCATTCTTTATGAATTCCTGTGTTGTACATCCTATTAGTCTATGTGTTTCAGTGTCTGTGTATCCCCATCTCTGGGTGTCCCTCAGTCTCTGTTTATATTACCCTGCTTCTATGTCCTCATCTCTGTGTGCCCCTTATCTCTGTGTTTTAGTGCCTTATGCATCTTGTCCTTTAATGTACTTGAGTGTTTGCACATTCTGAGCCTCTGCAATCTACTGTCTGTGTCTCCCTGTCTCGGTGTGCCCATGGATCTTTGTGTCTCATTGTCTGGGCATGCAATGAGCCTCTGTGTTCAAGTGTTTGTGCATCCCTTTTTGTGCATCACTGAGTTTTTGTGTCTTCCTGATACTTTACAAGTCCTTGAATCTTTGCATGTTCCTGTGTCTTTGCATGTGATCTAATGTCTGTGCATCCTGTGTCTGGGTGTTCCTATCTCTATACTTCCCCAAGTTTTTGCATATCCCTGAACCTTGGTGATCCAGTTTAAGTGTATCCCAAAGTCTCTGTATTCCTGTGTATGGGTATCTTTTTCTGAGCATCTGTATTTGTGTCTGTGCTCATGAACCCACATATGCCTTCTTCCATGTGCCCTTTGTTGGTGAGTTCTTGAGTCTGTCTCTGGGACTTTGCTCCCCATGTCTGTGATTTGGTATTTATCTCACTTCTCCATTTAGTTTTCCCAGATTTTGACAGTGTCTTTGTATTATTGTTTCTTTAGTTGCTGTGGCTGTGTCTCAAGTTGTTCTGTTACTCAATAACTCTTTCTCCTTTTTAGCCCTTGATATTTTTCTCTGGGTCCCCATTACTGTGTTCTTGTTCCTATGAGTCTCTTTGTCAGGGTGTCTCTCTGCATCTGTTTCTTTTTCTGTCTGGCTCTGTCCCTGGCTTTGTTTTCAACTGACTCACCACCTCTGTGTCCCCATCTCTGTTTGTGTCTGGTATTGGGATCCACATCTTTTTATTTTAGAGCCACTATCTCTGTGTTCCTGTGTCTGATTCACAGTTCCCATCCTTTCATTTTCATTTGTAGCTTTGGTTGCCTGTTTGTGTGTCTCTATTTCTGGGTGTGCTCAGGTATATCTAGATTCTGTGTCTTTGCTTCCCTGCTTTTCTGGATAGATTTCCTTGTCACTGTGTCTCTGACCATTTGCTTATGTTCTGTGTATCTGTTTCTATGTGTCTATCTTGATCCTACCAGATGTGTCCCTGTGTTTCTGTTCTTATGTTTAGCTTGTATCCAAATGACTGTATTTGTGGATCCACATGCCCATTTCTACTTTTTCTAGGAGCTCTGTCTCTGAATTCCTGTGTCCCTGCCACAGTGTCCCCATTATACCTGGAATCCACTTGCCTGTCCTTATATCTCTGTTACTTTGTCTGACCCCCATCTCTTTGCTGGTTTTTGTCACTGTTCACGTGTCTGCATACCCATGTCTTTGTCACTGGATCTCTAAATATATAAATCTGTTCTGTTGTCTCATTCTTAGTGTGTTCCTCTGCATGTGACTGTGTCCTTGAGTCTTTGTCACCAAGTATGGGTCTGTGTAACGTCTGTTTCTACATACTTGTAGGTCTCTGGCCCTGTGTTCTCTTCTCATCCCCAACACCATATACACAAGTCAGCATGTCAGTGTATCTGTCTGTTTCTACTTCTTTCTCCTTGGTGTCTTGGACTATGGTCTTGACTGATGCCTCCTGGTTACCTTTGTCTTTATGTACTGCTGTGTGTCTTGACACTTCTGCTCCTGTGTCTGGATCTCTGTGCATATGTATCTCTTAGTTTGTATGTTGTTATGTTTCAGTGTCTTCATAATAGTCATTGTGTGCCTATCCCTGGTGATCTTGTTTTTGTCTCCCTGCCTCTCTGTGACAGGAACAACACCTCAAAATGGGGATATATAGGCCTAGCAAGAGAACTCTGGGTTTATGTCCCTGATGCTCTCACTCTGGCTCCCTGTCCCCCTCTTTGTATGCCTATGTTTCCCTATGTCTATTCTCTTAGTTTTGAGATCCTTATGCCTTGTGTTTCTGAATGTCTCTACCACAGTTTCTCCATCTGTGTCTGTGTCCTTGTTGGTGTCCTTGTGTGTGATCCTGTCTTTAGTTGTATGTATGTGTGCGTGTGTCTCCTGCTGTGTCATTGGTTCCTTTTTGTTCATTCATTCATCCATTCATTCAGCAAATATTTACTAAGTACCTATTATGTGCCAAGCACTGAGGATACATAGATGATTCAGAAAAGGTCCTTGCCCTCAAAGAGCTCACAGTCTAAGTCAGGGATCCAGACAAGTAAACTGATAATTACTACATAGTATGATAAATGCTATGAGCTTGGATGGGATGGGGTGAGCTTTAGGAACATAGACGGGGACTGAATTTAATCCAGAGAGGGGCTAGGGAAGGCCTTCTAGAGAAGATGACAACTAAGACTTGAAGGATGTGTAAAATCCACCTACATGAAGACAAGGAACAGGGTTTCATGCAGAAAGAAAAACACATGCAAAGGCCCAGTGGTGGGAGAGAACATGGTTTGTTAAGGGAACCCCAAGAGCCTTAAATATACCATGGGAGCCAGAGAAGGTTGTGGGTAGGGCCAGCTGCTCTGTCAGTTTTTTGTTTCAAGAAAGTCATCTCTAAAGCTGGTGTGGAGTATGGATTGAAGAGAGTGGACACTGGAGACAGGAAGAACTGTGAGGAGGCAAGAGTCCCTAAGTCTCTAGGTCCATAGATACGCATGTCTGTGTGTGTTTGTATGTCTTTGTATATGTGTCACTTAGTGTATGTGTATGTGTGCTTCCCTGTGTGTGTCTTCACGCTCCTAGGTCTTTGTTTCTGGCTCACCCCTTGCCCTGGCCTCTGAGTCTCCCAAATTCAGGTTTCCTGGTGCTGGGGTTCAGGGGCCATCACAGGACATAGGCAAGGTAGGGGCGGCCCAGCAGCTGTTGTACATGAGAGCGGTTCACTAGCCAGCAGGAAGACCAGCGGGGCAGCAGCCTTGGTGAGTCCTTTAGCAGCTTCTTGCCTAGAATCACAGGCACATCTGGGCCTTGGTGCCTCCGCAGGAATGGCCCCGTAGACCCTGCCACCAGTTGGATATCTGCGTGCTGGAACTGCCCTGAGGGAGGAAGGTGCAGAACCAGTCAGGGCACTGGCCTGAGTCCCCACTGAGAACTCTGAAAAGATCCTAATGCAGGAAATCTGAAGGAAAAGAGGGAGGGATGAGGGGAAGCAAAGGCTTGGAGGAGGGAAGAGGCTGGATGTTGTGGGAAATGAGCAACCAAATGGGACAGGAGTGTATTATGGAAGGAGTGTATCAAGGCAGCAGAAGAGGAATAGTCAGGTGTGGAGGCAGAGAGGGCAGATTGGAGGGAAGGACAGGAGGGGAGTGGGGAGGCCCAGAGGAAGTAAGAATATATGTCCAACCCAGCATCACTGCCCAAACTCTTTGGTGTGGGCCTCTGCTCAGGTTCTGCCAATGTCTTCTGACCTATAGTCTGACTTCCTGCAGTCCCCCTTCACAGAAATCCCAGAAGGATCTTTGTTACACTCATATCTGACTGTATCTTTCTCCTGCTTATAACTTTTTATAGTTCCCCACTGTCTTCAGGATAAATCCAAACTCCTCATCCGGGCATTCTGCTCTGACCACTCAGGCTCCATTTCTTCTAACCTCCATCCCTTTCCTCTACAACTTTTGGTCAGCCTTTTGGACTATGGGTCTCTCTCCTCCAGGCGATTTTTCTTTGGCTCTAAGGCTGGGCAAGGTGCTCCACTCTGGGTTCCTCCATTGCCTTGGTCTGCTTTATATCAGCACTGATAGGTCCTGGGATCACTATCCAGGTCTGGGTCTGTATTCTCCCCAGGCCAGGAGCTCCCCGAGGGTAGACCTTGGCTCTGTTTTTCTTTGTAGTTGAGGGGCGGGTAGGGCAGGGTCCTGGGTGCTCACTGGCCTTTCACCTTGGCAGAGTCTCTCTTGGGACTGGTGCTCCCTGGCCCTTCTCAGCCTCAGCAAACACTTACCCAGCAGGCCACGGGCCAAGGTGCTAAGGCCTGAGCCATTGACCACATAGAACCCCAGATGGGGGAGTTGCAGGCTGTTGGGGTGCCTGTAGCGGTGCCGGAGGATTAGGAACTCGAGGTGGCGCCCAAGGCGGAGGGTGAGGCGGGCTGCAGCAGCCACGTGGAGCTCCAGCTGGGACCTCTTCAGCAGGGCAGGCTGGTCCCAGGACAGAAGCAAGGTACCCTCGCCTTGCACAGATATGGAATTGCGAGTGATGTTGATAGTGTAGGCCCGGGGTTTGTCTGTGGTGACTGTGATGATCTGAAAGTAGGTACGGATCTGGTCCCTGTGGCCTGGCCTTGGTGGTGCCCCAAGCAGCTGTCCATGCACATGCAGCCCTGGAGAGAGAAGAGTCCGTGCCTGGAGCGTGGTCTTTCACATAGTCATTTATTTGGTCACCCACAGCTCAGACAGGGCCCAGGGCCCTGATTTGTGGTTAGAGAGCTAGCTCCTGGGGAAAGTGCTTCTACCACAGCCCTTCCAGCTGCTCCTTCCTGTACAATGCATGGGCATAATTGTAGCTTTCATATGTTCACCCCAGTGGGGTTGTTTGCACACATGTGTTTGCTTCTGAGTGTGTAAATTTATGTCTGATTATGTTTACATGGGTATCTCTGGACCTACCAGTACATCTGTACATATTTGGGGAAGGTGCTATGTTAGATTATCTATTTTTTTTTGGTTGTGTGTTTATGTGTGTTTCTGGATATGTTAGTGCTACATGTCTTGGTGAATAGTTTATGTTGTGTGTTCCTGGTTGTGTGTTGGTAGATACTGATGTGTATCTGGGTGTCTCATGGTGAGTATTTGTGTGCATTGGTGTGTTTTGTATGTCTAGAGTAGCAGAGTATGTGTGCCTGTGAGTGTTGAATTCCTGAGTATTGGGATGAATCTGGGGTATCAGTGCATGTATGTCTGAGTGTGCTGATGTTTGTGTCATTGTGTATATCTGAGCATGTATTGTATGTCAATGTGGATCTGGGTACATAGTTATATGTTACTGTGTGTGGGTATGGAGGATGTCAAAATATGTGTCTGGGTTTATATTTGTGTGAGTTACTGTGTGCCCTAGTGTATGTATATACATATATGTGAGTGTGTTGATGTTAGAGTACATTTATGTGTGTTTTCATGTGTCTGGGTTTTACTTGTGCTATGTGTTTGTAAGGATTAGTCCAAAGATGTCTGGGGGTATTGGACATGAGTATATCTGACTATGGTGTTATATGGAGTGGAGTCCTTGGGGCTCTCACCTGCCTTTGGGTCATCTATGAGCTGTAGCAGGTCCCCTGGGCGCCCATCCAGTGTGAAGCATATTCTCTCTTCTGAACGTGGGATGTGGACCACAAAGTGGGGGTCACCATCCACTGTAAGGCAGGAGACAAAATTCTGAGATTATGGCCTTAGAAGTAATGGGTTGGGGGAGAGGACAGGGAGAGGAGGGGAATGTAGGAGGCCATGTCTATATCCCAAGAGAAAGCCCAGCCCCATTTTCAGTGCACAAGCTGTCCTATACTCACACAGTACAGTGACAGTGGCTGGCTTACCTGAGGATGAGAAGGTGAAGATGCTTGGTAACATGCCTGCAAAGGAGAGGAGGACTGTGTTGGTAAGAGACTGATCTATCAAATTTCTAGGAACTCTGGAACACTCTGGCCTCTCAGTCATCTCCTCCCAGATACGGGTCAAATTCCTGAGCTTACATTTAAGTCTTTTCTGGAATCTAGCCCCTGTCTAGCTCTTCGCTCTTCTCTTTATGATCCAGCCCAACTGAACTATTCTTATGCATGTCCTGCCTGCTCTTTCTAGTGACCCATTGCTTTTGTTTTCCTCTGCCTGGAATGTTTTCTTTTCCTTAGCTACCAAGGATCCATTTCTAGTTATCTTTCCAGGCCAACTCAAATGCTATTTTCTCTTACTCTCTGCCTGGTAGGTAGAATCCTAAGATGGCACCCAAGATTCCCCAGTTTACACACCCTGTGAAATCTCCAGGACTGTGATATGATGATATATCACTCCCATAAAAAGGTTATGTTATGTGGTTCGGTTGACCTTAAAATAGGAAGATTATCCAGATGGGCCTAACCTAATCACATGAGCCCTTTAAATATGGGTCAGAGAAGTCAGAGAGATTTGAAGTATGAGAAAGATTTGACATGAGATTCTCCATGGCTGTATTTAAAGATGGAGGGGACCATGTGGCTAGAAATGCAGAAGAGCTCTAGGACACGAAAGTGGTCCAGGTGGCCTCTAGAAGCTGAGAGTGACTTCCAATCAACAGTCAGCAAGCAGACAGGGATCTCAGTCCTACAAACACAAGGAATTGAATTTTTCCAACAACCTGAATGCACTTGGTAGATGAGAACTTAATCTGATAGACACCTTTATTTCCATTTTTGAGACCCTAAGCCAGTGATGGCGAACCTATGACACGCGTGTCAGAGGTGACATATGCGAACTCATTTTTTTGGTTGGTTTTTCTTTGTTAAATGGCATTTAAATATATAAAATAAATATCAAAAATATAAATCTTTGTTTTACTACGGTTGCAGATATCAAAAAATTTCTATATGTGACATGGCACATATAGTTAAGTTAGGGTTTTTCAAAATGCTGACACGCCGAGCTCAAAAGGTTCGCCATCTCTGCCCTAAGCAGAGAATCCAACTAACCTGTGCCCAGACTTCTAACATACAAAAACTGTGAGATAATTAAAGGGTGTTGCTTGAAGTTACTAAGTTTGTGGTAATTTGTTAAGCAGCAATGGAAAACTACTGCATTGCCTCTCCTCTGGACTCACACAATGCCTATGAGAATGCTAACTGAATGGAAATGAAAGCTTAGGGATCTTTGTCAAGTGGAGTTCCTTGTTCACCTTTGGCTAGCCCTGCAGAGCTCCCCTGAGATTCCATGCTGCCTCCAGGTCCTCCCAGGATCTCTTCAGAATTGCCTTCCCAATGTGGATTTCCTGCCAAGTGCAAAAGAAATGGAATACATTTTTCACACTCTTAAGGCAAAGATGCTCTGGACCTACCAAAGGGCATACTTGCATTCTGATTAGGAGTGTCCTCATTGGCTTTCCAATTTGACTGGCATATTGCCAAGACTAGGACCTTATGCTCTCCACAGCATCGTAGTCTTTCAAGCTCATTTATGCTCAAAATTCTTCCTCATAGCACTCATTCATTCATTCAGGCACTGTTTAGGCATCAGGGATATAGTGGTGAATGAGGTAGTCATGATTTTTGACCTGATGAAGTTCATATTTTAATCAGGGAGACAGACATAAGTGAAATAATAATTATCAATGGTGATATCCTATATATAATAAAGAGCTAATATGCTAATTAGACCAAACAGCAGAACGACCATCCGGAAGGTCCAAGATGAAGCTGGGGCTGTGAGAGCCCACCAGGGCTGCAAGGCTGCAAGGGCCGGCCAAGGCTGTAAGGGGCTGTGAGGGCCAAGCGCCTTGCACGAGTTCTGTGCATTGGGCCTCTAGTATACTATAACAAATAATAGAGTGATTGGGGGAGTTAACACATACTTGCCATAGTCTGGGGTGGTGGGATGGGTGGAAAGGACATCTGAGTTGAGATCAAAGTCATGAGCTGGAGTGTGAGTAGCAACAGAAAAGATGAGGGTGGTAGGAAGGGGACAGGGCAAGACAGGTCAGAGAGATTATCAAGCAGAGGGAACAGCTTGAAAGAGGTCCCTGAGTGGAGGTGCAAGTGGGAGCAGGGGCCATTGGAGGGCCAGAGAGGAGGCCAGTGGGGCTAGAGTTCAGAGAGTGAGTGGGAGAAGGTGAGGTCAGAGAGGTATGGGGTAGAGAGAAGGCCATGAAGTCCATAAATAGGACTTTGGGCTTCATTCTAGGTGTGAAGGGAAAATCTTAAGGGGTTAACTAGGGAAGGGAAATGAAGTAATCTATGTGTTAAAATATCTGTTTGGCTGCTGTGGGAGAATGGCTAAGAGTTTCTCTAAAGAGAGCAGGGAGGCCAGTAAGGAGGCTGGAATAGTTGTCTAGGTGAGACACAATGGTATTCTGTCCTACAGTAGTGATCATCGGGGTAGTGAAAAGTGGGTGCGTTGGCAAATATATTAGAGGTAACATTGTCAGTAACTGAACATGGATGAGATGTTGGGAGGGGGTGGTGGTGAGGGAGAGGAGCATGTCAAAGATGTCATGCCCAAATTTGTGTCCCTGTGACTTACTGCACCCCCAAGTGATTCTAATCCTGCCCTATAAGGTCACCCAGGAAATGTCACTCCTCTCAAGAAAGCAGAATAGTGGAGTAGGGAAGCACATTCAGTCTGGGACCAGATTATGTAAATTCAAATCTCTTACTATCAGTGTGACATGGAGCAAGTTACTTCACCTCTCTGTGCTTCAGTTTCCACAGGTGTGAAATGCAGATACTAAGAATTTATTGTGAGGCTTAAATGAGGGACTAAAGTAGAGCTCAAAATGTTAAGTGTTATTATTTCACAGTTTTGGGGAAATTTAAAGATAATTGTCATCATCTTCCCTAATTTTGATACCCCTTTCATTAAACAGTGCTGTTCACACAACACAAAAGAACTAATCAGACCTTCCTTGCCCAGTGATGCTCCCATTTATAACCCCACACCCTCCCCTACTTGGAAAGCATGAGCAGTTGTTTTTTCCAACACAGCAAATGTCAAAGCCCCAGCTTGTTTCTGTTTAGCCTCCTCAGTTTTAACATCCCTTCTCTCCTAGGGCCTCATTCTGTGCTTATGTGCTGAGGCCCAGAGAAGCTAAGTAGCTGGTTCAAAGTTTCAAAATAAGCAAGCAGCTATACTATCACTGGAATCTGCACAAGTCTTGCACACTCCTAATTCCTGGTGCTCTCCATTCAGACCTCCCTCTCATGACTTTCCCTCTTGCCCATGACACTCACCATTTTCGTCAGGAGTGAGGAAGGTATAGAAAGCCGGTGGGTTCAAGGACTCCACAAACTTGGACTCCACCATTGACTCAGACAGTAGCTCCAGTTCCTCAGGGAGAATGAGCAGGCTGACTGCCTCAGGGAGGGTGCTAGAAGGCAGCAAGACTGGCAGGTTTTGGGGGCTGCCTTCTGGCATAGGCTTGGAGCTGTTGGGTAGACCCATTGTTGGTACTCCTGACACAGATGGTCCCAGAATTTCCCCTGTGCTTTGGGGCCCTGACAGTAGGCCATGCTGATGCAAGAGCCTTCCAGGGGGCAGCAGAGAGGGCAGTGTGGGGTGAAAGGGAGTAGGGATGGGTTCTCCAAGGACAGGGGTTGTTGTGTTACTGCTGGGGCTTGTGGGATTTGAGATTGTACTTGGGACTGTGCTTAGGCTCTGAGGAGGTGGGGGCCTGGGTCTGACAGGTCTGGAGGGTAATGGGGTTTTGGGTTTATTGGGGATTGGTGTCCTAGGTTTAGAAAGCAATAAGCTTGGGGAAGTTTGATGAGGTGGGACACTAGGTTTAAGAGGTGATGGGACTTTAGGTGTCTTGGGTAAGAGGATCCCAGGTCTAGGGTATGACAGGTTGCTTAGGGTCTTGGGAACAGGAACCTTTGGTCTGGTGTGTGGTGGGTATTTGGGGATCTGAAGTGTGGAGACACCAGGCCTGGGCCGTGGCAGATTTTTGGGTGACTGTGATGTGAGTACCTTAGGCTGGGGGTGTGAGGTGGCATCCAGTTTACGTTGTGATGGAGCACCAGGTTTGGAATGCAATGAAGTGACATGTTTCATAGTGCCAACTTTGGACTGGAATGGGGTTCCAGGATTCATAGGTGGAACTTGTGTCTCAGAAATTATGGGTAATAGGGTCCCAGAATTCTGGTGAGGTGGAATGCTGGGCTTCATAAGCACAAAGGCATCAGAATTTGAGGGCACAAGGGCAGCAGGTTTTGTCCTGAGAGTTGGCTGAGCCAAGGTGCCAGAATTGTGTTGTGCTGGAATTTTGGGCCTTGGGTGTGCTGGGGTGGATACGGAGCTAAGGCTTTGACCCAGGGGCTCCAAATCCCTGGAACTGCCCATCTTCTTTGTAGAGGCAGTAGTTGAGGATAAGTAAAACTTTGAGTTCACAAGCCTTGATTTGGGAGAGATCTTGGGCACCAAGGTTGGCCGGGCTGTGCCTGCCCCTAGGCCATGCCTGCTGGTGGAAGAGGGCATGATGGTTCCTGGCCCAGTTGTGGTGGAAGTCTGCCTTCTGGCCTTCTCACTGGCCTCCTTGGGCTGCACCATGACCAATGAAGTCAGAGGTGTGACAAAGTTGTATTCAAGGGACAGGTTGAGGACTTTGGCAGCCAACAAGTGACGAGTGGTGGTGTCACGGGCTCGGAAGCGTGCCTCCAGCAGTTCTCCAATGGTGACATAGGCCCAGAGGCGGCGGATGAAGTGGGCTACATTGGGGGCTGGTTCACCTGGGCAACCAAAGGCCTTCTGGCTGCTGTTGGTGGCCACCTCACTGTGGCGGGCCACGAGAAGCTGACCTTTGGGGCCACGGGCTGCCAGGTGGATGCCCAATTCCTGCTCACCTGGCTGCACCAGGCCTGCCACCACCAGCTCTGAGCCACCAAAGTAGTTGGGGAAAAGAGCCCAAGGGGAGGCCCCAACCAAGCCGCCCAGGTAGTCCAGACGCACATCTGCCAGCAGAGGCATGGAGATCTCCTCATAGAGGCCCTGCAGCTGTAGGGCTGCATCGGTGTCTTCGTATATGCGCCGGGCTGCTCCTCGATTCTCCAGGGACAGGCGACGTAGCAGTGGGAAGTCAGCATCATCCCCAAAGGCCAAGCTGAAAAGGGCCACTCTGTTGTCCAGTGCCTGACGGACATTGGAGAGGATCACACTGGGAGTCGTCACACCAGCGGTGGGCTCCCCGTCTGTCAGGAAGATGATGAGAGGGATCCTCCCCACACTGGAGCCCCTCCCAGGCTCCTGGTTGCTATGGTTCAGCACTGAAGCAGCTGCCAGCAGAGCTGTGTTGATGTCGGTCCCTAATTGGGGAGCAGACTGTGAGACCATCTTTTCTAGTTACTTCTACCCCTATTGCAGACACACTAGACACCTCACCAATTTCCTAGTCATATCACCTGATCTTTGCTCAAACTCTTTCTACTGTTTATCCTTCCCGAGTCCCCACCTCCGCACAGGCTTCCTGAGAGCGGACAGTGGGGCGCGCATGTCCTTGGCTTTTCTCACTCCCTATCTCAGACTGTGCTTTGCCTGTTTCTAGGAGGGAATGTTTCATTCTCTAGTCAGATTGGCAGCTCCTCAAGGACAGTACCCCACACTTCCAGGGCAAGAAAGGGCCGAATTGACAGGAAGCGATGATGGGTGGGGAGACTTCAGTAATTGTTTGAGAAACAATTGATCAAAAGCCAGAATCAGGACAGCAACTTACTCAAAGGCTTGGAAATAAATATCTAGATTATTGATTAAAAAACAACAACTCTTAGCAAGTTCTTCTATGTGCTTTAAAGAACAGGAAACTTAGATTTAAAGGGGGAATATGCTCTAAAACAAATGGCGAAATCAGCTGTGCTATTTCCACTAGGAAAAGAAACCCAGAGGCACTTATTTGTGTAAAATGTAATCATGATATTCCGGGCACTGTGAGAGGTGAGGTGGATGGGGGAATGAAGGGAGCATTTTAAGAATTTCCCACATCACCACAGCCTGTCCATTTGCGTGGGTAGGTCTAATACTTACAACCATCAGCTTCCATGTGGCCCAGGTAGTCCTTGGCACTGTGTACATTCTGGATGGTGGCCTGGATGGAGCCTCCAGCTTTCCAGACACTAACCGTGTCAGAAAAGGAGATGATGTTGAAGTAGTCGTTGGCCCGCAGGTCACCAAGAATCACATTCATGGCCTTTTTAGTCTGTGGGATATGGACAAAGTGAAGGAGATGGACCAAGACTTGAGGTCTTGCTCAAGTTTGAAAGGCTCTTTGTGTACAGGGTACTAAGATCTAGGACTCTCTGATCCCAACATCCTGTGGGTATAGGATTCTCAGATCAAAATGCTCTATAGGCTCTATGGCCCAAAACCCAGAACGACACTATCCAATGGCAACTTCTAGCCATGTGGAGTCTTTAAAAATGTAAATGTTAGTTAAAACCAAAGAAAAATTTTATAATTCTATTAGTTTTTTTTTCACTTGCAGTAGCCATATTTCAAGTGGCCAGTGGTTACTGGACTGGAAACTTCAGAATTTTAAAATAATTCCATCATCAAGAAGGTTCTATTGGATAGTGGTGGTCTGGAAGGTTCAAGCTCTATGCTTCCAGAGACTTAGGATTCATGTGTTCTATGGACCCCATGACCCAGAATTCAATGATTCCAGGGCCCTAAAGTTTAAGAGCTCTGTGATTCCAGGTCTTTATAGCTGTCTTTCAATGACCTTGCATGCTTGGTTCTGTTTCATCTAATCTGTTCTTCTACATCACCCTCTGTTTCTTCCAGTCTGGTCTTTTCACCAGCCCCCAGATAACCCAAATTCTATTTTGTCTCCACAACTGTTGCTCTTGTTGTGTCCTTTAGACAGCAGACCTTCCCACTTCCCCTTTACTTATTCATATTTTCACTGTTCCTTCAGTTGCTCCTTCTCTGGGCAGCCCTTCTTTGAATGCTTATTCTGACCCATGCCATTCACACCCAGCCATTCTTTTTCCCAGGCTGTTTACTGACTGTTTTATGTGGAATATTTTCATTCTCCATCCAGATATTGAGCCCTCTGAAAACAAGGCTTAGAATACTTTTTCCTCTTGGCTCCCTTCTCATGACACTACTTAGCATAGGGCTAGGCCCATAAGAATTGGGAACTGTGTTTCTAACTAGCTCTGAAGTCTATAGGGGGTTCAGTAAATAGGGCATGTGGGTTCTAGTATTAGGTACCATTTATAGGATACTTCTATGTTCAAGGAACTGTGAAAAATGCTTTAAGTGCATCAGCTCATTTAATCCTCACAGCAACACAATGAAGAAGATACTAATATTATCCTCATTTTACAGGTGATGACACTGAGGCTCAATAAACAGGGTAAATAGGTTCAAGTCTATAGGAAGTTCAGTAAATAGGGTATGTGGGTTCTTATGATGCTGGACAGTGGCAGTGAGCCACAGTTCCCAGTCAGCAGCACAATCATGAGGGTAAGCAACAGACACTCTACAGTATTTTTTTTGGATATTGTGTGTTGTGCTTTCACATCCCATCGTGTCACAAAAGGTCAGTCTATGTCATCTGTTTCTGGTGAGAAGAAGATGAGGAAGGCAATTACTCTTGAGATGAAACTCAAGATAATTGCCCAGTTGTAGGCTCATGTAAGCCCTTTGAGCACATTTAAGGCAGGCTATGATTTTTGGTAGGTTAGTTGTATTAAATGCATTTTGACATGATATTTTCAACTTATGATGTGTTTATTGGGTACATAACCCCATCATGGGTTGGGGAGCATCTGTACCTTGTAACAGAGTAGTCCCAGTTATTCCCTCCTGTCTCTTATAACATTGCTGTGATTAATTTCACTTATCAGTAGGCTATATTCACTGAATACATTATTGCTATTATTATTTTGAACAACCTGTTTTCTGTTAGATAAATTAATTAAAAAGTAAAATATTTTATGTTACCTTTATTTATTCCTTCTCTAACACTCTCCCTTTTTTAATGTAGATCCAAGTGTCTGAGATATACTATTTTCCTTCTCTCTGAAGAATTTCTTTAAAATTTACCTGTTTGAGGCAGGTCTACTAGCAATAGTTCCCTCAACTTTTGCCTGGTTGATAAAGTATTTCTTTCACTTTGGATGGATAATGATGCTGTACACAGAATTGTAGGCTAGGGTTGTTTCCCCCCCTCCCCCCTTAACACTTTAAACATTTTACTCCACTTTTTTTTTTTTTTTTGCTTGCGTGGTTTCTCAAGAGAAACCTGATGTAATTCTTATCCTTGTTCCTCCATAAGTAAAGTGTTATTTCCTATGAGCTTTTTAAAGGATTTTCTTTTTGTCTTTGATTTTCTGAAGTTTGAATAGGATGTGCCTATCTGTGGATTATTTGGTATTTCCTGTTTAGAGTTCTTTGACCTTCCTGGACCTATGATTTGATGGTTGGCATTTATTTTGGAAAATTTATATCTATTCATGCCTTCAACTATTCCTTCTGTTACTGTCTCTCTTTCTTCTCCTTCTGTTATTCTCATTACAACATATGTTACACTTTTGTAATTGGATGCAGTTACTGGATATTCTGTAGGATTTTTTTCATTTTATTCTTTGCTTTTCAGGTTGGGAAGTTTCTAGTAACATATCTTCAAGCTCATCGATTCCATGTTCAGGCTCCTAATGAGCCCATCAAAGATATTCTTCATTCCTGTTACTGTATTTTATATATCTAGAATTTCCTTTTAATTTTCTCAGCATATCTATATTTGTTTACATTGCCCATTTGTTCTTGCATGTTGTCCACTTTCTCCATTACAGCCCTTAGCATATTGGTTAATTATTTAAAATTCTCACTCTGATCATTCCAACACACCAGTCTGGTTCTGATGTTGATTTATCTCTTCAGACTGTGTATTTTCTTTTAACATGTCTTCTAAATTTTTTTATTTTATTTATTTATTTATTATTGCTTAAAGTATTACAAAGAGTATTTCTTCTAAATTTTTGTTGAAAGCCAGAGATGATGTATCAGGTAAAAGGTGCTGAGGAAAATAGGACTTTAATATCAGGTTTTCTGTTTACCTGGCTAGAAGTGAAATTGTGTTTGCCAGTTGCTGCAATTGCAGGTGTCAGAGGCTAATATTTCTTTTAGGATCCTTGTTTTTATCTCCTCTGTTTTGTCTCCTCTCCTTTGTCTTGTGTATCCCTAGAGATCCTTTCATAAATTGTGTGTAGGCTTCCAGTTATTTCAGCTGACACCTCCTATTGCTCTACAAAAGACATGTTGATATAGTGGCAATGTGTTGGGAGAGGGGAAGCATTGCATAGCTCTATCATTATGACTCACTCTTCTAGGGCAACTGTGCCCCTGGTATATGACCATCACAAGTTCTCCTCAGCTTAAGAGAAATAGGAAGGCTAGAAAGGTTTGGAGTTAGCTATATCTTTTCCTCTATAAAGAAGGCTAAAGGGAGACAATTTTCAATATCTACCTACCCCAAGTTTGGCTACACTTTGGTAAAACAAAAGTCAGTTAGCCTTAGGTCCCATGGACTCTGTGGTTCAGAACTTCAAAGTATAAAGGCTATACTGTCCCAGAACACTTGAACCTTATAACTCTAGACACCCAGAGTACCATAGCTACAAATACTGCTTCCAGAACATTAAGGATTCAGGCTCTAAAGTCAAAATCTTTTTGGCTGACTGCTGTTTCAAGGGTGCTTTGGGAGAAGGGATACAAGATTTAAGTCTAGATGGAACAGGACTCCATGGTTTCTATGCACTACAGTGCTAGCACACTGCATTTTTCTGGCTTTGAAGTAAAAAATAACAATTTAAAAGCCTGTGGCCTTGGAAATGTTCAGAGTCTAAAATGTCTAAGGTTTTATTTATGTTTTGACTCACGTGTTTGATACCAGAGCACTCTAGCTCAGAGACTCTACAATTCTGGGACCGTCTGAGCCCAGGAGTTTTGTGGTGCAGGGTCTCAATGGTTCAGGCCCCATAGTCCAATGTTTCAATGTTCCTCATGTTCTGTGGCTCCAGGTCTACAGGGCTCCTGGTATGTGAGGTACCAGGACCCTAAAGTGGGGCCAGGCCTGTAAGATCAAAGCTGGTGGGATGATAGAGTCTCTGGCCCCAGCGACCCAGGTTGCAGCTCTGCCTGCTTGTGAGACTTAACAAGGAGAGGCCTGAGAGGTCGCCAGGCTGTGTATTACCTGCTTCATCTTGGTACCAAACATGGAGCCGCTCACATCAATAACGAACACCACATTTTTCTCCACCGGTGGAAGGCCTCTGGGGGCAAAGTAGTGAATAAAATAGCCATCGTAAATCTGGACAGAAGGAACGAAAGCACAAGAACAGTGAAAGCTGATGTAAATCAGGCCCCCTCTGAGTCTCCTACACACCACCCCTTCCCGGCCTGGGCCTTATCACTGTTTCTAGTTAGAGAGGCGCGTGTGCCTGTTTCTTCCACGTCCCTCTCCTCCACCAGAACCGTGTCTCTTCTGCTCGGACTGTCAGCCCAGGACCTGCCCCAGAGCCTGGAGCCTGGCTGGGGGCCCAGGGCTCCAAGGAGCAGGATCTCTGTAAAATGTGAGTTCCTGTCCATGAGAGCTGGGCTCGCACAGTCTTGAGGGCCCCTGGGGACCTTTTGCCTGGGCTCCAGGAACTTAACTATTGTTTTAACCTCCCTCTATAGAGCGAGCCTGGGGCCCAGCTCCATGGCTGCCAGGGGCTGGGAGTAGCAGGGCCTCCCTCTCCTCCTTCAGCCTCCTTTCTGCTGTTGCTGGGCAGAGCAGGGAGGGGAGGAGGGAGCAGAGGCTGAGTGAGCTGTTTGTTCAGAGGGGATTGGTTAGACCAGGTGCAGAGGCCTGAGGCTGTGGGGGCTGTGATTGGCTGCCGCCCCCTCCCACTACTCCAAATCTCCCTGTGCAGAGCCTGGGGGCTGGGACAGCCAGGGAAGGAGAGGGGGGAGCTGGGAGGGCCCCCTGACCAGTGTCAGCTCAGCTTAGGGAAGTATGGGCTTGCTGAGGGTCTGAGCTGCCCAGCAGCCTGAAGCTGGCTGTGCCCTGGGGTAAACAGCCACTTCTCGCTGCCCTGCAGGCACCCTCTGGTCACAAGGCTGGGACACTATGTCCCCTTCTCTCCGGGGATCTCAGAAGACACGGGAGGACATCTTGGCCTTCCCCGCCACCCCAGCCTTTGAGTTAATTCCCAAGTACACGTGCAGGCTCTGTGCCCACTTTTCCCGGCACCATACAGCAGTCCCCAGAGGCCTGGGCCCACCCCCCCACACCCCCCCGCAACTGCCCAAGCCAAGAGCAGAGGCCAGCAGCCCTCCTCTGCTCCTCCCCTACCTGGCTAAGCCAGAGCTTCTGGAGAAATCACACACCCATCCCTCCATGGTCCCAGGCTCAATGGTGGCCCCACACCTCACATCCTATAAGCCAGAGGCACAACGCAGGTCACCAAGCTCTCACTCACCTCAGCTGGCATGCCATCCACTCTCAGGACATATCTCCCTCCCCTCCTCATGAAGGAAGTTCAGGACGCCAGACCATGTCCCTTGGACTGCCCACCTTACCCTTGCTCAGGGTCCACATCCCCATATACCCCTTCTCTCTACTGAAAGACAAGAGAGTCCCACCCTGGACCCCATGGACTCCCAGCCTCTAGCACCTGCTCCACCAGTCAGGCCCCTGCACTCCAACCCAACCCGCATACCCTACATGGTCTTCTTTAGAATAAAAATGTTTATGTGTTTTCCATCCACTAAGACAAGCCCCATTGATCCCAATCCCCACCCAACTGCCAGCCAGCTTCTCCCCCCTGTAGCATGCCATGGAAATGATATGGGCACTCATAAGGGTCTTCTCATCTCCATCTCACTCCTGCACCGACCACAGACTGGGTCTCACCTCCACCACGCAATGACCTTTCCTCACTAAAGGCAGCAATGACCAGCTGGTTTCCAAGCTCAGGGAGTATATTTCAGTTTCCATCCAACTGCACCTCCCTGATGAGTTTCACAATGGATTATTCACTCTGATTTCTTCAAAAACCTTTTACCCTGGGACCTGAGATGGTGACCTCGCCTTATCTTCCCACCATCTCTGATATGTGTGCTTCAGTCCCTTTCTTGGGCGGCCTTTTCTCCCCCTGTCTCTTCAGCGGCGCTTCCCAATATTTCTGAACCATGGCATGCCAGAAAATGATTATGTTTGTGTAGCACAATGGAGGGAAGTGGTGGGAATTTACAGCTCTGAGCAGATTGTTGGCAGCTGGTGGGGCCGGACACCGGGAGGGTTGAGATCAATAGCCCCTTGCATGGGAATCTCAGCCTTAGCAACAGCCATCCTGGATCTGCCTTGGGGCTCTGCACATTCTCCTGGGTCATCTGGCTACCCTCTCAGTTTCAACTGCCCAGGCTCCACAGATGACTTCACGTGTCTTGCTCCAGTCCAATGTTTCCCACTCTTCCCCCTCTACAGCTGCACGCCCACTCACTATTGGACCTGCTCCCTTCGATGTCTGAAGATGCCTCCACTGGATTCTGCACAAACAGTAATTCATTTTCTGCCTCCATCCTACCCCTGAGCACCTTTGTCATTTAAGGCCTCGTCATCCACACGGTCACTCCAGATACAGACCCCAGGGTCACGCCTCAATCCTGTGTGCCCCTCCTTCCTGCACTCAACCAGCCCCAAGCTCCTCCTGGTTTCTTCCGCTGGATATCTCAGGTCCAGCCCTCCTCTCCATCCCAAACTCACACGGCCCAACCTCAGGTGTTTCTGTCATGTTTCCCTGCTTCTATTGTGGCCCCTTCCAACCATACATCTTTGCAGCTCCTGCTTGATCTGGCCTTTCTAACCAAAACCTCCTAATGTCATTCCCTCTCTTGGCTCCCTCATCACCTCAAGACAAAGGGCATGCTCCTTTCCTGCCCCTGCAGCCTTTGAACCTTTGGTCTCACCTTTTGCCATTTCTTGTGCCTGAAATCTATGCTCCAGGAACCCCAACCCACTTGAAGTTCCCTACGCACCCATGGATAGTTCCAGCCCCCCTTCTTTGTTTCATGCAAAGTCTGCCTCACAACTTGGTGTACTTCTTTACATTCTTAAAGACCAAAGTTTAAAAAAAGTCCCAGGTTAGTCTGTACTTCCTCGAGAGAGCTACCTCCTCCCATCTCGATGGCTTCCATCATAACTTGTCATTGAGAGAGCACTTCTAATCCTGTATCAGTATTGGCTCTCTGTGTTTCACCCAGAGACAGTGAATAGGATCTGTATGTGATTCACCTCAGGTTTCCAACATCAGCCAGCAGTGGGCATGACACATATTACCTTCCCAGGGTGTCCTGACTGAATGACTAAAGGGGGAGTTGCTGGCCTTTGAAATTGGGCATGCTTGAGTGGGAAAGGGAGGTGAGTTGAGGGTTCTTGGTGAGGGGATGCAGGAGTCAGGATACACCGTGGGTGGGAATGTGGGTCATCTCATTGAATGGCCAATCCCACCTATTCTACCTGCATTTCTACTCCAGGCAATGGTGAAAAAGGTATAGAATGAAGAAGCAGATAAATACCTTTACCCACACACCATGGAACAGCAGGTCAAGGCCCCTGCTGCCACCTACTGGCAGGATACCCTCAGCTCCCATTCTGAGAGGGCAAATGACTGTTATTCCCCCTACACAGCAGGCTGGCTGTGCCACAGCCCTGTGCCCCTGCACACACTGTCTCTCCTGTCTCTGCATGGAATTCCCATCACCCTACCTGCCCAGGTGGAGGCGGACTCTATTTGTTTTTGCCATGCTAATTTAAGGACAACCCCTTTAGGAAGGCTTTCTTAAAACCCTCCTCAAAGGCATCTGCACATCACCCATTCCAGCTTTATACACACTAGGACGTGTGATGCATGTTAAGGCTCCATGTATGTGTCCCCTTCAAGACTAGGACATTCTGGAGGGAGAGGAGGTTTTGTGTCCCTGGCGTCTCTGAGTTCTCAGAGTCAGTGGGGACAGCACTGGGCTAGAGTAGCTCTGCTTGGTGGAGTTGTGCCCACCTATGAATTAATGAATAACTGAGTGCATGAGGAGAGGTGTAACCAAAGGATTATATTAGCCCGAGGAAGAGAGAGGAAGTGTGAGTGGGGTGTGTTCATCAGGGAGGTGGTGTTTCAGCAAGGCCTTTCAGGACAAGGGGGACACTGGCCAGTAGGGAGAGGCGGGAGGAGATATGCCCAGGGCAGCAGAGAGTAGGAGCAAATGCTCCTACACAGATGAAAGGCAGGTTCAGGTGCTTTGGGGAGAGAGGTGTGTGGTGTGGTGGGGAGGCAGCTGGAGGGTCAGTGTGCACTGGAGGCAGTGAGCGGTGTGGCAGGAAAGGCAGGGGGGACCAGACATCTGAGGCTGCTGTGCCATCATCCTCACAAAGCCAGGGTCTTGGGTCAGGGCTCTACCCGTCCGGTAGTGCAGGGGACCTCTGCTTATTCTTAGGATTGTGGGAGCTCAGGGTTGAAGAGATCCCTGCTTACGAAGATGGCTCTGATGAGGCAAAAGGACTTTTTAAAACTTGGAGATGGCAAGAAAGTCCAAGAGAACATGGGAGCATCAGAGCTGCAGAGCGTGTGAGAGCCCTTGAGTGTGAGAGACCTATGCCTGGCCAATAGCTCACTTTCCAAAACACGGGTGAAGACTGGGCTATGGCTTGATCCTTTTGGAAAGGGATGCATTTGGAGCTGGATTAAATTTGCACAGGTCCAGGTCCCCGTGCTCTGGGGGAGCACATGTGCCTCCCCAGTTGCGCAATCACGTGTCACCACACATCTCGCCCTGTTTCGCTAGTCCGCACTGATCCCTGGGGAAAAGGAAATGAGCCAGGCTGTTGCCCCGACCTGTGTGACTCCAGAGCTCATGCTCAGTCCATCCCCCTGGCCCCTCACCTGCACATCGCCAATGATGTCCTCCATGACAACATCATACTGGACCACAAAGTCGGCCATGATGCCTGAGCTGGAGAAGGCAGCCTGGTCCTTCAGTGTTGGGCAGAAGGTGACTCGCACACAGGTCTCTCCCTTCTCAATTCTTGTGGATGGGGGCGGGCCAGCCTCACCTGTAGGGGTGGGGAGGGGTGGGTGGGATGGCATGGAGGGCTCACTAGCAGGAAGCCAAGCAAGGGGACAGCAAAAGGAACAATACCTGGGGAGGGTGAAGAGTAAGCCCTGCGCCACCTGCTGCTCCTCCTGCCTGCAATGCCATTCCACCTGCCCAAATGCCACACTCCTTCCTCTGCAAATCCTAGAACCAGCTCTGCCTGCTCTGCCTCTGCCAGCAAGCCTACCCAGCCTGGCAGACCCAGCCCTCCCCTCAGCTCCCAGGCTCTGGGAGGCTGACCCTCATGCACACCTTTGCCCTCCATCCTGAGGCCTAGTGGCATGTCCCCAGGTAGACCAGCAGCCTGGCTCTCCTGCCAGGGGCCGTGTGTTGTGTGTTGTGGAGAGAGACAGACGCACAGACAGGGCCGGGGTTTCCTCCTGTGCCCCTTGCTGCTGTGGGAAATTGCAGCCCATCAGGGTTCTCCTCTGGGATAGAATTTCATGTGTTTTCTCCCCCTCTGCCTTCTGCCTCTCAGAATCACGTGTGTGAATAGGCCGTTCGCGCCTCATGGAAACACAGAGGACTTTCTGGTCCCGGATGTTTGCTGAGCTGGCCATAAGATCAACTCCTCTGGAATTTCAGTCCAAGACAAATGTCCTTTTAGACATGTCTCTGTGCCTCTTTTTTCCAGAAAATGGCAACTTGGGAATTCTGCCACCCGCTCCCCCTTTCTGCTACAGCTGTCAGGAAGTTTAGGGGCAAACTGAGGCCCCATACTCTCTGAGGCCCCCGCTTACATACATTCCCCTGGCTTCCTTCCTTTCAGAGGTCTTTGTTCTGTTTTTATCCCCACAGGACTGGCTCTACCCTCTGTTTTAACCTTTAAGGAGCAGGGGGAGGGAGCTGCCATTTTTAGCCTAGGGTGTAAGAGGGCAGGCTCCAAGGGCTCAGAGGCTGCCTGTGGGGCCCTGGAAACTCCTTCCCACTCTCTCAGCCTCAGTCCCCCCAGGACTGTAGCTCCTATTTCACAGGCAGTGTTTGTGGGGATTAAAAGAGACTTTATGTAAAGCATGTGAAGCCATCCTTGCATCTTAGTAATTGCTCAGTAATTCTAAGGATTGCCGTTTTCCTCAAACCTTCATTCCCCTGCAGCAGGGATTTGCAGGGAGGAGTCTTATCACACCCTCCTGGGCCCCAGGTGGCATCTCCTGATTGTGCAGATGGAGAAGGGAAGCAGAACACGTGAGGGATTTGCCTGCGCCCCCGCCTTAGGGGAAGGTCAAAGCTGGGATTGGAGCCCATGTCTGTGTGTCCATCTCTCCTTCCGTGTACCACACTGTCACTCTGGGTTATCAGGGTCAAACCAGGCAGGAGCTCCAAGCTAAAGAGCTTGGTGAGGGTGGCCACAGGCCATGGTGATTCCTCTGTGCCTGTCCACTCATCTCTCAGAGGAGGTGGGTGGGCCTGGTCAGTGGTTCTCTGACCTGGCCAGACTCCAAGTTCACCTGCCACCTGGTCAGAAACAGGTTCTTGGGCCCCTCCCCAACCTACTGAATCGGACTCCAGAAGGCGGGGTCCGGGAATCTGTACCCCTAACATGGGGGTTCTGATGTCGCCAGTCTGGCCTTCACACACCTCTAGATGAACTTACAGCAAGGCTGGCAGCCAGGACATCTCTGGCCCACAGCGCCTGAGACCACATCCTCAAGAGCAGCCTGCAGTGTATGCTCTCCGCCCACTGCCCTTCCATTCCCAGCCGTGATTCCACAGCAAAGCAAGATTTGGCTTCCACAACCCTCAGCATTGTTAACACATGATTTCATTGAGCCCACCCAGCAACCCCTCCCCTAATCTTTATTTTTTTCATGAGGAAAATCACAACCCTGGGAAGTGGTTGGACTTGCTGTTTCACACAGCTTGCAAGGATCAGGCCAAGTTTTTAACTCCCAAATCTTTAACTCCTGACATGTTTTCTTCTCATTTTTTCAATGTGAGCGCAGAGCGGAAGAGGTACTAGAAGGAAGCCCAGGGAGAAGGGGAAGCTTCCCATTCAGGGAAGGCCAGTCACATGGCTGACCCGTAGTTCTGCCCACATACTTGTGTGGGTTTTGGTGCGCAGGCGGCTGGTCCTCAGAGGTGGTACGTGAACATAGCCAATGCCCGTTCTTTCTGACACTGTGACCTCTATACTTAGCCTTGTCACCAATTGGCCAGGCCTCAGGCTCACCACCAGCTGGTACTGGCCCTGGTGCCGCTGCAGCAGTTCCTCATAGGCCAGGGAAAAAGTCACCTCTGTGCCTGCTGCCAGACTGGTGGAGATGCGGAACTTTTCTGATTCCCGGTCCCTGGGCATGAAAGGGAGGAGGGTGGGAAGGGGATGGGATGTCACGAGGGGGAGGGGAGCTATTAGATGACCTAGTTCTGCCCATCCCCGCCCCGGCCCCAGCAGACCTGACAAGGCTTCTAGTTTTACTAAGTCTCTTGCCCACAGTTAGTCATCCACTCATTAATCTGTCTCTTTCCTTCATTCACCCTACTCAATATTCTTCCTGAGAAATTCTATCAGAGGAATTCTATCATAAGGAAACTCTGCAAGTGAAAATCTGAATCTAGGATAGAACAATAGGGACTAATGATATGTTTTACAAAAAGAGTTTTCAATTAACACAGGATGCCTCTTCCCCTTCCCACAGGCCCTCACAACCACCCCTCTCCCATGCTTTAGGCTCAGCTTGTGTCAATTTGTAGTGGTCAAACGTAATATTTACGTGCTTGATGAAATTCTTTTGGAAGCTGGGAGGAAACATTGAAGGAACACAATACATTTCTGCCAGCAGAATGGAACTCAGTTAGGAAACAGGATTTGCTTTAGAAAAATCTCACTTGAACACAACCTTACCGGAAGGTGCCAGTTCTTAAACAAGCCACATCCTGCTGGCAGGAGGAAAGTGGAAATGGAGAAGTAAACTCCCATTTATTGAGCACCTACTCTTTTACAGGCCAAATGAACTCACGCTATCTTCATGTAATCCCATGAAGTAGAGATCATTGGCTCCACTTTACCAGAGACTGAGACCCAGAGAGAACACATGTAAGCCCCGGATCATACAGCTAAGATGTACTTGCCATGCTTCAGATCGGATGGAGCCTTACCTGATGCCTACATGAGCAGCTGTCTTTCCCTGCTGATGGGCTTCCTCATAGATTTTCTTTGCCTGATGCTTTTCTTTGATTTCTGCAATGTAGACTTTATTGTTGATGGTCCTGATGGAGCAGTAAAGAGGAAGGCCAGAAAGTGACAGAGAAATAAAAATAGATGGTCAGAGACAGAGAGAGAAAGAGACACATAAAGAAGAGGAAGGAGAAGAATGGAGGATGGGGAGAGAGAGAAAGGGCAGAAGAGTACCATAAAGCCAGAGTGAGAGCAAGAACAAGAGACAAGAGGAGAAGTGAGGGAGATAAAAACAGGTGAAGCAGTTATCATTATCTCTACTTGTCATATGGGGAAATAGAAACAGTTGGCATATGATGGACCTGATGTTAGGACTTTATGTTTCCCAAAGTGTTGAATGAATTCCATGTTTTGGCATGTAAAATAATTGTAGGTGGGACACAACTGAACGTTTTTATTATAGTTGATATGTTTTTACTGTAATGTGTATTGAACATATAAGTAGCATGTTGAACCCATGAGCTCATAGATATTGTTGCTTAGAATAAAAAGCATATCTATTTAAAGAAAATATATTAAGTAAATAATATGGTAGGTGGTACAGGTGGTAAAAATTGTGAAAGCAGAATGCAAATTGCTGCAAAGGCATCTGGCTCAGAGACTGATCGGATACTAATGGAATTGTTCACCCCTGTTTTTCCCCTTGCTCTAAGAAGGTAATAAAGTGTAAAGGACTTCAAAGAAGGGAGAGAGCACTTTTGCTCAAGTCTTCAAGAAAGGGTCCTGAGGATGTGGCCTTGGTGTTGGGCCTGAAAGACAGGGAGGATTTGGATAAATAATCCTCATTGGCATTGCCTTCTGAGTCTCCATTGATGGCTCCTTCTCTTCCTCTTTTCCCTTCTTCTCCTTCCCCTCCCTTCCCCTCCCCTCCCCTCCCCTTTTCCTTCTTCTCTCCTTTCCTCCTTTCCCTCCCCTTCCCTCCCTTAACCTCCACTCCCCTCCCTTCCTCTCCCTTTCCCTCCTCTCTCCTCCCCTCCCCTCCGCTCTTCTTTCTACCCTCACTCTCTAGGTGAGATCCTCTAGCCCTGTGGCTTTAATTATCATTTATAGAGAGATTACTCCTAAATCTATGTTTCTCAAGTGTGTACCTGTCCCCTGAACTTCAGACCTCTATAATTGCTTACTTGGTATCTCCACTAGAATGTCCAATAGGCACCTAAAGCTTCACATATTCAAAACTGAGTTGCTGGTATCTCCTCCACCTCCCCATTCTGCTCCTGCCCTGGTTTTCCTTATCTCAGGAAGTAGTTGTTCAGCTGAAAATCTTAAAGTCATGCTTGCCTCCCTTCTTCCTCTCACACTCCACATATAATCCATCAGGGAATTTGGGCTCTATCTTTAGATACATTCACAATCCACTTCCCACCACTCCTACAATTGCTACCCTCGTCCAAACTACCAACATCTTTGCTCAGATAAATACGATAGCTTCCTAACTGGCCCCCCTCTTTAAAGCATTGCCTCCTTATTATCTATTCTTTTCACACCAGTAAGAAATATCTTGTTAAATCCCAAGTCAGTGCCCCCTTTTTTTTTGCTCAGAACTCTCTGTGGCCCCCAACTCAACTGAGAGTAAAAACCAAAGTCCTCACCAGGGCTCCCAGTGCCCTATACAGTCTGGCTTACTGTCACTTCTTTAACCCCATCTCCTCCTACACTTCCCCCATTCATTGTACACCAGCCACACTGGCCACTTTGCTGTTTCTTGAATTTGTTCAGCACACTCGTGTCTCAGAACCTTTGCAAATACTATTCCCTTTGTCTGCAACACCCTTCCTCCAGATCTTTGCAAGTCTTATACCCTCACTTCTTTTAGGTCTTTGCTCAAATGTCATTTCCTCAGAGAGACATCTTTGGCCACTCTAAAGCAACACCTTCCTTCTCACATTCTATTTCCCTTGATCTACTTTCTATTTCTTTGTAGCACTTCTCATCTACAAAGTGATCTATACTCCCTTGTTTATATTTTCCTTCTCTCTTTTCTCCACTGGACTGTGGGCTTCTTGAGGGCAGGGCTTTCATCTGTCTTATTTGCCGCTGTATCCCCGTACCTAGAATATGGCTTGGCACACAGTAGGTACTCAACAATTATTTGTGGAATGGGCATTCCAGACAAACAGCACGAAAACACAGAAGGTGTTTCAGGGAACAGCAAGCAGTTAGTCAGATTTGGCTGGAGCAGAGGGGCAAGGAAAGGAGGTGTGGAGAGAAGTTTGGAGTGGTTGGGTGGGCCTAGAGAAAAAAGGACTTTGAACACCAAACTCAATAAACTCATATGGCAGTGAAAACTTGCTATGGAGAATGAGAGTCATGGATAAATCTTGAAAAGTGAAGGGTTGGGTCAGAGGTGGCCTTTGAGGAGTGCTAGGTAGCTCAGTGTCCTAGAGAACATTACTGCGACGCTGTAAGAGGCAGGAGCAGCAGTCTATTTTATAATTGGAGAAACTGAGGCACAGGTATTGGGGTGGTAGTGTGGGGGATAAAGTTATATGACCAAAGCAGCAGCTTCTGGGAACACTTGAGGAGGATATGCAGACTGCAGAAGAGACCACTCAGGCGGGAAGTGTTTCTAGGCAGCTGAAACAGACTAGTGGTTGGGCTAGTGTGGGGGTGGGTCGAACTGGCACTGCCCCAAAGTCTCCTGGAGGGGGGGTGTGTGGGGGTGTAGGGTGGAGCTGGTCTGGCAGCAACACACTGGGGTCTCTGTGTGTGTCTGTTGCCTCCAGCCAGCATACTTTCCACAGAGTCTGCCCAAGAACATTTCCTCCAGCCTGCTTTGCTTAGTTTAAAATTTTTTTTCTCTTGGTGTTTTTTTTTTTTTTTTTTTTTCCTATTGAAGCAAAAGTCCAAATTCTGTCTGAGTGCTTGGCCCTTGCATCATTTGGCCAAAAAACTTTCTGGTTAGCCCCCATACTCCATGCTTGTTTGCCTTTGGTCCCCCTGGGTCCTCCACATACAGTGATCCTGGTCCCTTCTCTTACCCATAGGAAAATCCTGCTTCCAGGAAGCCTTCCGTGACTACCCTGTACCTCTCCTCTGAAGTCAATGCCAGGAGCACACCTCTCACCTCCTCCAACCAACCGGTCCTCTCTCCAGGGTAGTGCCATCTGCCCATTAAGACCAGGCGGTTCCTGATGACAACGCCCAGGCTCCAGGCCTGCTGTTGAGGCTCATAGGCTGTTTACTGCACAAGCCCCCCCCCACACACACACACCGCTCCCCTGCCTTGCCAGGAGGGAATCTGAGCAAAGGCTGAAACTCTGCCTGTGCCAGCCTCACTCATCTGCCAAATCTGAGTCCCTCTCCCCAAAGCCAAGCACCCTTTTCTAACTCACACTAAGGTGCTATATGGGTTAATGACCCTCCCATCCCAAGCTTCCTCTTATCTGCTCCTCCTCCCATGCTCACCATATCAAGGAAGGCACTGTCATCTACTGGGTCAGACAAGCTGGGACCAGTTTACTTATTACCCATACACATCAGGCTGCTTCTTCTCTGTTATGGTCTCTCAAATCTCACTGCCTCTAGCCCTCAGCATCCCTCATGCTGCCCCAGGTTCCTAACTTAGCTCCCTGCTGCTGGGCTGGCCCCACCAGTCCACGCCCCCACTTCATTATCATCACTCCTTGCTTAAAACTTTACCAGGTCTCCTCACTATGGGCCACAGTTATGCCTACAGTGAGGTGCTCACGCTCCATGGGGTGCTGGGACAAATCATGAGTGTGTGGGAAAGGGATAACACTCTACTTATAGGGTTTCTCTTTCTCATCCTTTATGTTTTCACATATGCTTTATAATATATTTAATATATTTGCTCAGTAGTCTATTTATGTAATTTGTGAATTAACAAATATACATATTTGGGGAGTACATGGTTCAGTTTTTCCTAATGAGTGTCCAAACGCAAGACAGTTTGAGGCAATTGAGTGATGGTAGGTACTTGGTCTGGGATGGGAAGCCCTCCACCACCAAGTCTTTCTTATCTCTCCAGTCTCACATCTGACCTCTGTCTTCCCTACACTTGTGCCCTACACTCCAGTGACACTGAGGTCCCTGCAGTTCCCCTAATGAGGGAACATTTATTTGCCCCTGGATTCCTTTTGTCCACATTCCCCAGCATTGCCCCAACCCTGCTTGCCTGGTGAACATCTCATATTTCAAGACTCAGTTTAGGTGTCATCTTTGTGAGGCTTTCTTTGAGTGTCTAGGGGTGGGGAACTGACCACTGTGTCCTGATAGCCCTCACCATTCCTACCATCCTATACTCACTTCTCTTTGTTTCCAGCAATTTTATTAAGATGATCTCTTTCCTTGTCCATGTCCCCCGTTAGACCATGGACTCTTTGGGAGCAGGGACCATGTGCAATTCATCTTCCTCTTTCCGTAGTACCCAGTGCAGTGTGAGTTACAGTCAATATCAGTGTTTGTTAAAAAATAAGTAAGCTAATATTATCAAGGACTTATCATGTGCCAAACACTGTTTTTGGCATGTATTGTCACATATATGAACTCATTTAATCCTTGAAGGTGGATTCTAATTTTATCTCCATTTTACCAATGTGTAAAATGAGTCTCTGAGAAGTAACTTGTCCTGAGTCCCATAGCTGGCAGAGCCAGGATTCAAACTCAAGAAGTCTGACCTCAGAGTGCACGCTCTTCATCACTGTGCTCTGCTAAAAAGACAAAGAACGAACGAATGTATGCACGAATGAATGAAGCGGCGAGCTTGGAAGCAGACTTACATAGTAAAATTGGAGATAAAGGCCAGGCGAGGCAGATCCAGGTCAAAGATGGCTTCATGGGCCTCAGCATGTGGATTGAACAGGACAGAAGTGACCAAAGTGTGGGCATAGCGGGAAACCACAGTAGACCGCATGGAATAACTCGTCATCAACAGCTGGGAGAGAAGGCAGGAAGGTGGGTTACATAGATTCTATCACAGAAGATCACAAATCAAGGGACCTTTGAATAAGTGCGTCTTCAACTTTAATGTACACATAAATCTCCTGGAGATCTTGTGAATATGTAGATTCTCATTCAGCAATTTTTTGGTGTGGGATTCTACCTTCCTAACAAGCTCTCAGGTGACGCTAATGTTGCTGGTCCATGGATTTTACTTTCAGTAACAAGGCTTTATAATAAAACAGAGCAGCCCTGGCTGGGAGGCTTAGTTGTTGGAGCATCGTTCTATACACTAAAAGGTTGCAGGTTCAATTCCCAGTCAGGGCACATACCTAGGATGTGAGTTTGATCCCTGGTCAAGGCGAATATGGGAGGCAACCGATTGATATCTCCCCCTCCCCCTGCTCTAAAAACCAATAAAAACACATCCTCGGGTGAGGATTTATATATATACATATATATGTATATAAAATATACATATGTACATATATACACACAGAGCAGCTGTCATTCATTGAGCCATACTGTGCAAGGCAATGGATTATATATCTATCAATATATAATCTATCTATCATCTATCTATCTAATCTTCCTCTTCAAGAGCTCAGGTGTAAAGAATTACTCTTGATAAGTGCAATTAGACAACTAAAACATAATGAGCATTTGGCATCCATAATCTTATTTAATACCCACATTGGCTCTATGAGCTAGCCACTATTATTGGCCATATTTTATGGATGTGTTAACTGGGCCCAGAGGCTGAGGTCACACAGCAAGTAAGATATTGATCTTCTTCCTCATCTTTCCTGAAGCCGTGGTCTCTCCATGTGCCCACACATAACGCACACCTACTTTATTCTCAGTGGAAATGAGGGCAGTTGGGATCACATGGACCTAGGTTCAAATTCTGGTTCTGCCACTTCCTGTGTCCTAACCTCAGAGCCTGTGTATCCTCATCTGTGTGATGGAGTTAGTCAAGCCTATGTCCCTGGGAAACTGTCAGGACTAGATGAAATCATAACTAAGGTTCCTAATGCAGCATCTGACATATGCTCAACAAATACTCTTTTCTCTGGTCCTAGATGATCAATTGTGGGTCCAAGGAAACAGATTGAATAACCTTCTCCTATCCCCGCCCCCCAAGGAGCTAATTTTCTCACAAATCCCAGAGCTTGGTTCCCTTATCCCAAAACTGACCTTTGTGCTTGATGAGGGGGGGCCAGGAGGTCCCTGGTATGTCAGTTCAAGGAGAATAGTCAGAAAAAGGCTGACACAGATGAGGCACCTCCACCCAGACATGATGCCACCTCTGGCCTGGGTCTGTTGTTCACGTCCAGAAGGTCTGAGCCCAATGTCCAAATTCTTGCTCTTTTAAACCTCCAGGTATCCCTTCTCTTGAGAGGGAGGGACTATCCTGAAGGGTGGAGAAGTCTCTGAATGTAGCATTGAGGCCCACACAAGTCAGGATTGTCCAAGAGCTGGGGCTGGCATCTTGCCTGGAGAGGGGCCAGTCCATGCCTCCCTTTTTCCCCTCATCCAGCTGTAAGATGAATGGAAACTAAACATGCTAGAGTGCTGGGTCTGTCTGTTTGCTATGTTGGCTCAGGGTGGGGTTTTCTTTCCTATAAACATCCACAGGAGCCCAGTAACTAAGGCCAGAGAAAGGTCAGTTAACATTGATCATCTTAAAAAGGTAGCAGATATAAGAGAGGGGTTGGTGGGGCAAGGCCACAATCCTGGTCCTTGTTGGCTCTGACTTTAACCTGGAGACAGGAGGGACTTACTTAGGGTCCCATAAAAATTAGGGGTCCCACAGGCATGAGACTTACAGTCTCCAGAATAGTCAGTGGCCAAGACAAGCTTGGGCAAGACTGGGAATATAACAGAGTGGTTCCAAATAGAAGTACTGGATTCAGACCATCTGGATTTGAATCTCAGTTCTGCCACTTACTGACTATAATATTGAGGTTAATTAACTGCTCTGTAGCCTCCGTTTCCTCACCTATAAGATGAGGATAATAATAGCACCCACTTCATAAAGTTGCTATGAAAATTGAGGCTTTATTTTTGGAGTGCTTGGTACATGGTAAGTGTTCAGTAAATATCAGCTGCTAGGACTAGAGTGGGATAAGACCTGATTGATATATAAAGTATATGATGTGCCTGACCAGTGTGGGTTAGTGGATTGAGCGTGGTCTCATGGACCAAGAGGTCCCAGTTTGATTCCCGGTCAGAGCACATAGCCAGGTTGCAAGCTCGATCCCCAGTAGGGGGCGTGCAGGAGGCAGCCGATTGATGTTTCTTTCTATCTCTCTCTTCCTCTCCCTTCCTCTCTATCTAAAAATCAATAAAAACATTTTTTAAAAAAGTATGGGACACCCCCTTTCCTTCCAGAGACCTAGGTGGGAGGGAGGTTGGGTAATGCCAGGTTGCTATTCATCAGTCTGTCTCTGGGAATCAAGAGATACCCTGGACTGTGTCTGTTGGTACTGTGGGAGGTGACGGTGGGGAACAGAGCTGAGAAAGTGGAAATTTCTCAAAGTTCCGCACACAGGACATCAGCATCAATCAGAACCTCTATCCCCTACCTTTTCCACCCACATAGGGCACATGCAGCTACAGCACTTACTTTCAGCACAATCTCTAATGACATTTTGCAAACTGTGTAGGGAACACTCCGACTTGTTCTATGGCATTTGATACCACAGAACAAAGCCTTCTCATTCTGGTATTTGGTCGACTCATTATCTGTCTGTTGCCACCTCCTTCAAGTCTACACTAAATTTCCTATCAGAACTTTCTCATGGGGGAGAGCCCGAGCTAGAAAATAGCCTTGATTATACAGTAGCAGAGAAACCCACATTGGCTACCTTTCCCCTTAACTAGGAAGAGATAACCAAACATTCTCAGAAAAATTAAGGGGACCTGCAACATGATTAAAAGAAACAAATAGAGCGATTTTGGAATTTTGGAAACAAAAGAGACTTTCAGGGAAAAAAAGATATTTTCAACAAAACCAAGAAGATAACATGAGTGAAACAAGAACTAGAGGCCACAAAATAGCTGCAGTCAGAGAAGAGAAAGACTCCTTAAAATGGAAAAGAAGTTGCTGAAATTAAAAACAAATTAACAGAAGGTCTGGGAAGTAATATTAAGGAAATTTCCCAGAATGTAGGGCAAAAACTAAAGAAACACAATGAATGAAAGAAAATTTGAGATAGAGATTAATCCAGCAGGTTAACGTCTGAATGATAGGAACTCTAGACGGAGGGAAGAGAGAAAAATGAAGGATAACTTGTCAAAAGCACATTAGAAGTTAGTTTTCCAAAGCCCAAGAAGAATCTCCAGAGCAAGTGCCCAGAACAGCAAACCCAGGAAACAGCGGTTCCAACCCAAGCAATTACCATTGCAGGAGCCTCCTCACTGGTCCTCCTGCTTCCCTCTTTGTTGCCCCCGCCCCTCCCCAGCCAGTATATTTCTACAACAAGAGGGATTCTTTTAAAACCCAAGCCAGATCCTCTCCTAACTCTGCTCCAAACCCTCCTATTTCCTATGCTGTACTTTACATCCCCATGACTATGTAGTGGCTACCAATCTGTACTTCTCAATCCCTTCACCCTTTTCTCCAGGCCCCCAACACCCCTCGCCTATGTCAACCATCAGTCTGTTCTCTGTACTTATGAGTCTGTTTCTGTTTTGTTTGTTCTTTTATATTTTCCTTTAGATTCCACATATAAATGAAATAATAAACTATGTATGGTGCCAGGTGGATACTGAAAATATCATGGCGGGGGAGGGGGGAATGACACTTTTTTCAAGTATATAAATGTCTAAACATTATGCTGTACACCTGAAGCTAATACAAAATCATACTGAATATAAACTGTCATTGAAAAAAAATCCCTCCTGTGGAATCCACTGTGGCTTACAGGCCCTATAAGTCCCATTACTTATCTATCCTCATTTGCTATTCCTTCCTTCCTTGCCTTCCTCCACTACTCTGGCAACCCTGACCTTTATGTTCTTCAAAAATGGCAGGCATGAGAAAAAACAAACATGCCAGGCTCACTCCCATTCCAGGGCCTTCACACTGACTGTTCTTTCTGTTTGGAATGTTCTTTCCCCAGGTTCTCTCACCTTTTCCGAGTCTTTCTCTGACCAACCTATTTAAAATGGCAGTAACTTCCACCATTTCTGGCATTCCCCATCCCTTTACACGGATTTATTTTGCTCCATAGCATTTATCACATTTCAACATTATATATATATATATATATATTTTTTTTTTTTTCCTCTTTCTCCCCTCACTAGAATATTAGTTCCATGGGAGTAAGAATGTGTGTATTCCTCACTGATATATTCTCAGCTTCTAGAACAGTGCCTTGGTCCATAGTAGACACTCAATAAATATTTGTTAAATGAATGAATAAAATGCAGGCCAATGATTCAAGGAAAAAAAAGACTTTTAGAATCTCTCTCTCTCTCTCTCTCTCTCCCCACCCCATAAGAAAATAATAGGCCCTGCCAGCGTGGCTCAGTGGTTGAACATCGATCTATGAACCAGGAGGACATGGTTTGATTCCCCATCAGAGCACATGCCCAGGTTGCGGGCTCGAACTCCAGTGTGGGGTGTGTAGGAGGCAGCCGATCAATGATTCTTTCTCATCATTGATGTTTCTCTCTCTCTCTCCCCATTCATCTCTGAAATTAGTAAAAATATATTAAAAAAAGAAAATAATAAAAAGCAAAATATAAAGCAAATATAAAGCAAAATAAAATATAAAATGATTATAAGAAGCTGATGGAATATAATTGAGATTCCTTTTGATCTTGATGGTGGAAACAGTCTTCTTTGAGAGGATCAAAAATTGTGACGTTGGATTTGAAGAGAAGGAAGTGTATTCCTGGCTCACAACTTCGCTGGATTTTGAAAGATATTTACATAGTAATGATACTGTAGGTGTTGTTTATTGGTTTTCATGTTTGAGAGTCAACCTGGAGCAAAGCACGAAAAACCTGGCCATGGCTGCAGAACAAGATGTAAATGTTAATAGCCTGGACCATGTAAAGGAAAGATGAATCTGACAATGTGGCTCATTGAATTGGCATGGGGAGGGCAGTGGCCCTGATATCCTTGTCCTAAAAAGTGGGCAGTCCACATTATCTGTTAAAAATGGGTGGCATAAAGAATGGAGGTTTGAGGGCGCTTTTTCCCATATGAAAATAATAAAAGACAACAAAAAGAAATCTCCGTGTTAAATACAGCAGTGGAGTGAATGGAAAAGTAAGGCAGCGTACATCAACAAAATTCTCATTGCCATACTGGGGAATCAATAGGCCATTGTCTAAATTTTATAAACCAAGAAACAAAGTATATACATATTATCTAGAGTTGTGAAGGGAACAGTCAGCAGAATAAAAACAAGAACAGTTAAAAGTTTGTTTTGAGAGAGTAGGATGGAGAAGGGGAGGGTCAAGGCAGGGGACTTTTGGTTTTTATCATAGGCTCTTCTGTCCTGTTTGATTTATTGCCATGTACACACATTACTTTAATAAATATAAAATCTTTAAAAATTATGTTTATCTCACAACAACAAAATGATTATATATCTTATGACACTTTATGACAATATCAAAATGTGTATGTGGATATCCAGTTAGACTTGCCTCCACAGAAGAAATTCATACTGTAATGTACCTCACATATGTTTATGAAGAGAGTTGGAAAGGATATGCTGGGACTTAAAACATTGGAGGCAGTAGAGCGTAGTGGTGAAGGCTCTAGTATCTGACATCACCCTGATGGGATTCAAGTCATTTCTTTGTCATTCACTAGGTCCCTTATACATAGTTGGTGTTCAGTGTCTGTTGAATGGTTTGAATGTACTTCACAAATGTGTGCTGAGGAAGAACTCAATGTGCAAAGAGCAGGGGAGAAGGAGTATTGGTCCAAAAGTGGGTAGCTGGTTTTCTTTTCTTTTCTTTTTTCTTTTCTTTTCTTTTCTTTTCTTTTCTTTTCTTTTCTTCTTTTCTTTTCTTTTCTTTTTTTAAACATATTTTATTGATTTTTTACAGAGAGGAAGAGAGAGGGATAGAGAGTTAGACACATCGATGAGAGAGAAACATTGATCAACTGCCTCCTGCACACCCCCTACTGGGGATGTGCCTGCAACCAAGGCACATGCCCTTGACCGGAATCGAACCTGGGACCCTTCAGTCCGCAGGCTGATGCTCTATCCACCGAGCCAAACCGGTTAGGGCTGTAGCTGGTTTTCTTATCTATGGACAATGTGCCTTTA